AAAAAACTGAAATTCATAAAAGCTTCCCATAGAAAAATGGCAGTCATGGAAGTCTTATACAAAAAATTGGTCATAACAATGGTTTTATATAGAAAACTAGTTTCCACTGATAGTCATAAAAGGTTTCTGTAGAGCAATTATCGTCATAGAAGTCTTATACAAAAATTTGCCCATAATAAAGGTTTTATATAGAAAACTGATCATAATAGTTTTCACTGGTAGTCATAAAAGCTTTCTATAGAGCAATTATCGTCACGGAAGTTTTATACAGAGAACGGTTTATAAAAAAGCTTTTATATAGGAAACTGATCGATATAGAAGTTTTCTATTGAAACTAATAGTCAAAGTTTCCTATAGAAAATTGATCCTTTTAAAAGTTATCTTTAAGAAGTTGATCATTATAAAAACTTTCTAAAGAAACCAGATCGTCATAGCAGTTTTCTTATAGAAAACTTATTTCCATTAAGACTTTCTATAGAAAGCTACTCAATTAATATTTCCATATTAAAGTGATCACTTTCTATAGAAAAATGATCGTCGTGGAAATTTTATACAGAAAACTACACATAATGAAGGCTTTATATAGAAAAATCATCATAGATTGAATCGTATTGAAACTAGTCGTCATAGTTTTCTATAGAAAACCGATCCTTCTAAAAGTTTTCTATAAAAAAACTGATCCTAAAGTTTAGTTTTTACGATCTATATGTTTTTTTTATTATTTATAGAAAAAGAAGTTTCCTGCGGAAAACTTATAGTATAAAAGTTTTCTATAGAAAATTTATCGTCTTTCTACAGAATTATTAACACCTTAAATGTTTTCTATAGAAAAGTTTCTACAGAGTATTCTATAGAAAACTGATCATAATAATAGTTTTCTAAAGAAAACTCTTTAAACAGTTTTCTAAACTGATTGCCTTGAAAGTTTTCGAAAAACTGCTAAATACGACCTTGAGATGAAATATTATGTTTTTAATCAAAAGTTTAAAACTGTGATTACCCCTAATAATACTTATAAAAGTGTATACCGGCATAAATGCACACACAAGTGTGTGTATATGTAAGAGTATGTATGTTTTTTAACATTTTAATAAAGTATATACCTATGTATGTAAGTAAAGTGTGCATATTTTCTGCATTTCATGTCATCATTTAAAGGGTTTCCGATTCCATTCAAAAAGAAATACAACAAAAACAAGAAAAACATATGTCTGACAATGAGCCACATACTTGTACATGATTTTTTATTATAATTTTTTTTGTTTATTTTGTGTGTGATTTTTTTCCTTCAATATTGATGTACAAGTGCAGGTGTTCTGTCTGGATTTCATGCATCTCTTACAATCAGGAAAATGTACAAAAAAGAGATGAATGAATAAACAAACACATCCCTCTTACAAATTGTGTTAAATTTTGCAAATAAACAGATTTAAATCTTGAAAAATGAAACGAAAACAAATACTTGCCATGAATTTTTAGTAATAGGAGAGTTTTTATTTATTGTATTTTTTGTTGGATTTTGTACACACCTTCTTCAAAGAAAACGTTAGAAGTAAATAAGAAATAATCTTACTTGTAGATCAGGTTCCAAAGAGTCCTTTTTCTTTATTTTCAACAAAAATTGCTTTCATTAAAGTCGTATATGATTATTCGAATTTAACAACTGCTCTATGCTGGAAATTATAATATGTACCAGAAAAAAACAATAAAGATTTCATTAGAATTTCCCGAAATATTTCAATCGTTAATGGTTAATAAGTTTAATATATTTTAGGTAATAAATAAGATTTATTGCATTTAAAAGTTGAAATTTTTACCACAATAGAGCAGATACATATATCACTTGAAATATAACTTCAAATAGATTTATTTTGTAAATACTTAAGTGTGTTTGTAGTTTTATTTAACAACCGTTACTTTTAACCTTTGACCCTAATGTAAACGATTATCATACGTTTTATTTTATTACTTTTTGTACATAAGTATTACGTTCATTTACAGCTATAGAAATTTATTGAAAATTTTTCAAAATCAAGAAAAAAAAACCTAAAAGCCCAACCTTTTTTATTTTACTCATAAGGAGGGGTAAAAGAAAATAAAACAAGATAAACTATAGTAAAGCAAATTAGCTGCGCCTATTTTGAATAACCTCTTCTATATACATATGCCATGACTTTTTTTTGAACTTTTTCATTTAATTTTTTGTTTATAACGTTTTGAAAAGCTTCAATGTCATTTAAAACAAACCAGCAATAAATACGTAAAAAATACCTTAAAAAATGTGACATGCAAATATTTTTTTGCTTAAAATTTAACCCTTTTAAAGTACCTTTCACTGGAAAAAAGAACTAAAAATATCTGCAAATTCAATTGACATGCAATTTTGATGTTTAAAATAATAAAAAAATCTGTATTTTCTCTATATGTACCTTTCTTTTTTATGAAAAAATAAAAATTTTTCTGCGTATTTTCACGTTGAAATTTTTATATATTTTTTTGCTGTTTCCAACTGCATTTAATGAAATTGGTTCAAGTTTAAACTGCTTTCAACCAACGTTTTATGTTTTGTTTGTTGGTGCGGCATTATCGATTTGTCACTAATGAATGATATGAGTGATTTTCACATGCATTAGGATGGTTCAAAAAAATAATTTAATATTTTTAAAGTTCTACATTTGGAAGGATAGATAGATAAAGAAAGAAAGAAAGAAGATAGATAGATAGATAGATAGATAGATAGATGATAGATAGATAGATAGATAGATAGATAGATAGATAGATAGATAGATAGATAGTAGATAGATAGATAGATAGTATAGCTAGTAGATAGATAGATGATAGTCGATAGATAGTAGATAGATAGATAGATAGATAGATAGATAGATCGATAGATAGATAGATGATGGTGATAGATAATCGATAGATAGATGATAGATCGATAGTAGATGATCGATGATAGATTAGCTCGATAGATAGATAGCTAGATAGATAGGCTAGCTCGATGCTAGCTCGATAGATAGATAGATATAGTCTGATCGCTCTATAGATAGCTCGATCGATAGATAGATGAGATAGATAGATGATCGCTCGATGATGCTAGTAGATAGATGATCGATAGCATGATCTCGATGATAGCTGATCGATAGATGATCGATCATAGATCGATAGATATAGATAGATAGATATCTCGCTGATAGTTACTAGCTGATCATCGTCGATGACTCATAGATAGATAGATTAGATAGATTAGATATATATATGATAGATAGATAGATAGATATATAGATAGATAGATAGATGATAGATTACATGACAGTGTAATGAAATTTCAACGGACGAAATATCGCCAATCAATTGGTATGTTTAAGGATCAACCATGTTGGGTATAGCTGAAAAAATACTTTGGGTTAACTTAGCGTTAAAAATCAATAAATCCATTTTATTACACATTTGTTTAAGCAGAACTAATAAATTTATACTAAGTACGAAAAAAAAATAATAAAATCCATTCCGAATATGTTTTCTACTTTTTAATTAATCCAATTTTGTGTTTTTTATCACAATTTCAATAAAAAGGTATTAAACACTTTTGTGTTCAAAACAGTTTTCTAAATTACTATTTCTATTTTTATATAAAAGCGAAAAAAAATTAGAAAAAGCAAAAGAAAATCATTGCTTACAACCCCTGATATCTAGGGATACATCAAATAAATTAAAAATGGCATTAAACCAAGTTAAAATTGTGTATTATGAGGGGTTGAAAAACGCTACAAACCCCAAATATGAAATAACCACAGACAACATAATTTTCGGCAAGGCGCCAGTAATAAATTTTATTTAAAATTGCAACGAATTGTACGAAATTTGTATGAAATGAACTAATTCAATTGTAAAAGAAATTAATTGAATTATTATATTTAAGCTTCTTTTTTTCAGTTGCACTAATCAAATACTTGACATTATTCTATTATTAAGCAGTTAAAAGTAATCCACTAATAATGCTGTTGCTGTTTTTTCGCTCTCTCTCTCTTCCCCGTAGAACCGAACTAATCACCCACCCATAAATGTTTTAAACTGAATTCAATTGTATGTATTGTGCTTGTATAGTATAAGGGTATTATTGTTGGTGTTATTTGATCTGATTAGTTTGGATATATAATATTCATCCATTCATTGTACTTTGTGCATATTACTTGAACATAACTGCATTTTAATATGCACATATTTGCATGTATTATGCACGTTAAAGTTTTTTTTTTATAGTTTTCTCTTTTGTTTCCCCTTTATGTGTAGTTTTTGCATAAAAATTGTTTGCAAAACCAGCTGAGTTGCTGTTTAAAACTGAGAAGTAGTTGAATACCCCGGAGACGTGTATACATGAAAAATTTGATATTCTTTTGATAAGCTACTGAGTAAATAGAAGTAGTTTTAGGTTTTTCCAAAAGTTTGAAACAATATTCTATGAAAACACTAGCAGGAATCGTCCGGCGTTATTTGTGTCTTTATTTCTCTAGATTTTTTGGTTCAGCGGTTTGGGTATGTCAAATTAATATAGATAGATAAGTATATGGGTTCTTTCTAGCATTTCTGAACCGATTTATTTGATTTTTTCAACGATTTTAACCTTTTCTTATTATACTGTAAAAATAAATCGTATTGCACAATTTTCTTTGTTTCTTTTTTACTTAAATTTCTCGTAAGTTTCCTTCTTTGAATTCTCTTTGTCTTTAAACATTTCATGCATTTTAGTCTTGTGGTCTGGTCTGGCATGGATTGCTTCAGATTGGTGTGTGGGTCTTGGCAACAGCATGGTTCACACGTACTTATTTAATCATTTGCTGCTCTGCATTGTTTCAACTTTTATGAATGAATTTATACGACTTCATTCACTAAACAAACGATTCAGACTGACAGAAAAAATCGAAGAACATAAATAATTCGTATATAAAAAAAAATAAATAGTTTTAATATCTTAAAAAATTATTTGTATTTCTTTGCAGCACTGATGGTTCAGAATCCCCCACATTAGCGGAATCAGATGCAGATGGTCATGAAAAACCACGTGTAAAATATGGAGAATTAGTTATATTGGGGTAAGTTGAGTTAAAAAAAATAAACAAAGAAACACAATCGTTAGTCCATAAAATTTAACAAAGCACCGAAAATATAAAAAAATAAAACAAAATTGTAAATGATTAATTTCTTAAAGTGACCTGATTTTGTAGCTCTTTCTATGTGGCTGTTAAGTTTTTATCTTTATTATTATCTCAACCCTACTTTTTTATTTAAACAGAAAACTTATTTGTACTTTTGTTCTGGGCACTTAAAATTTTGTAACTAATTTAATTTTCAGTTACAACAACAAATAAAAAACCTTTAAACTTTAATCGTTTAATTTTGTTAGTGTAAGTATATCTTTCTTTACTTTCAAGTTACAGAGAATTGTATCTAATTGAGCCGCAGACAAAGACCAAGCAGACATATCGACAGACACAAACATATGAAGAAATAAAAATAAAAAAAAATAATAAATACTTACACTGACAGACAGACAGACAACCCAGCACCAACGCCTGACCCAAAGACGGACTGACGAACATTACGCACTTATAAACACTGTAGTTTTCAAAATATCTTAACACACATTAACACGAACACAAACAATTAAGTCAGGGCAGACATTTGTTACAATGTACTAGACGACATTTGGTTCGTAACAGAGACAGCCAACCAACAACATAAATTAACAAAAAAAAAGAACGAACACCTTTCTTTTTAAATCAATTTGAATACATTGACATTTAACGCGCCACCAGTACAAGTTACAAATAAGATTAAGTTCACGACAACAAATTCCCAGTACTTAAAGTGAAGGGGTGAGGGGGCGCCAAACATGTAAATAATATGTAACGGGGGAAAAACTACAAACTATTTTTATATATTTTTGTTTAAATAATATTTCGTAATGAAATTTAAAAATTCACAGTGCAAGCTTTAATAGCGGATCGTAACATTATATTTAAGATAGGTCAGTTCTAGTTCAGTTCTAGTTCAGTTCTAGTTCAGTTATAGTTCTAGTTCTAGTTCAGTTCTTGTTCAGTTCTAGTTCAGTTCTAGTTCAGTTCTAGTTCAGTTCTAGTTCAGTTCTAGATCAGTTCTAGTTCAGTTCTAGTTCAGTTCTAGTTCAGTTCTAGTTCAGTTCTAGTTCAGTTCTAGTTCAGTTCTAGTTCAGTTCTAGTTCAGTTCTAGTTCAGTTCTAGTTCAGTTCTAGTTCAGTTCTAGTTCAGTTCTAGTTCAGTTCTAGTTCAGTTCTAGTTCAGTTCTAGTTCAGTTCTAGTTCAGTTCTAGTTCAGTTCTAGTTCAGTTCTAGTTCAGTTCTAGTTCAGTTCTAGTTCAGTTCTAGTTCAGTTCTAGTTCAGTTCTAGTTCAGTTCTAGTTCAGTTCTAGTTCAGTTCTAGTTCAGTTCTAGTTCAGTTCTAGTTCAGTTCTAGTTCAGTTCTAGTTCAGTTCTAGTTCAGTTCTAGTTCAGTTCTAGTTCAGTTCTAGTTCAGTTCTAGTTCAGTTCTAGTTCAGTTCTAGTTCAGTTCTAGTTCAGTTCTAGTTCAGTTCTAGTTCAGTTCTAGTTCAGTTCTAGTTCAGTTCTAGTTCAGTTCTAGTTCAGTTCTAGTTCAGTTCTAGTTCAGTTCTAGTTCAGTTCTAGTTCAGTTCTAGTTCAGTTCTAGTTCAGTTCTAGTTCAGTTCTAGTTCAGTTCTAGTTCAGTTCTAGTTCAGTTCTAGTTCAGTTCTAGTTCAGTTCTAGTTCAGTTCTAGTTCAGTTCTAGTTCAGTTCTAGTTCAGTTCTAGTTCAGTTCTAGTTCAGTTCTAGTTCAGTTCTAGTTCAGTTCTAGTTCAGTTCTAGTTCAGTTCTAGTTCAGTTCTAGTTCAGTTCTAGTTCAGTTCTAGTTCAGTTCTAGTTCAGTTCTAGTTCAGTTCTAGTTCAGTTCTAGTTCAGTTCTAGTTCAGTTCTAGTTCAGTTCTAGTTCAGTTCTAGTTCAGTTCTAGTTCAGTTCTAGTTCAGTTCTAGTTCTAGTTCAGTTCTAGTTCAGTTTTAGTTCAGTTCTAGTTCAGTTCAACTTAGTGTTACTTTTGGTATGTTTCAATTGAATAATCATTTTGAATATTAAAAACTTTAGTTTACATTAGGTCCACTTTTTCTATTTTAATTTGAATAGATAAGGTTTAGTTTTTTAATCCATTATTTTAAAAAATATTTCAGAAGGGAATTTCACTTACACATTAAAAAATAATGTCGTTCTATTGAAATTTTAAAGTATCTCTACCAATCCCTTATTTTCAAAGTGAAAAGATTATTATGAAACTCACTGTCAGTTTATGCATTTCCCCATCTAATTTAAACACAATTTTTCCTTTTTTGTTTTTCGATCGTAATGCCAGCAGTTTCCGCATTTATTGAAGCAAAACATTAAAATGTCAAATAATAAATCTTGTATAAAAAAATTATATCAGAAACAGATCGTCATTGTTAATAAAATTGTTTTTTTATAGTTAAACTTTAAATTTGATGATGCTGTAAAGTTGTGGCAATGTGCATATAAATTTTAGTTTATATTGTCATGCTTTTTTATTTGTAATAAAAATAAAGATTAATTTGTTGTTTTATACGAGAGAACTCTCCCAATTTGGAGACAAACAGCATCCATTGCATGCAACAGAATGATGACCAACCAATTGTACACAAATGATATTGAAATCAGATTTAATTTAAAAAAAACCGTGACAGACAGGGATTAATCATCATTGAATAGGAGAAACATTAAAAATGATTTATAAACAGTGTGAAAAAGAATATTTCGTACAAAACAAGTTTTATTTTGTAGATAATATGTTAGTTATTTTAAACATTTCTTGTTTAAATTATTAGATATGTATGTGTCTGTGAACTTGAAATTCAAATAAACGATTACAATGATTGTTATCAACTAATAAATTGTAAATTCTAATAAAAATAATATTATAATAATTGAAATCATATTGTCATACCATATATCAATAGACAAATTGTTGTTTTACCTTGAGTTTCAGCAAATGGCTAAATACATTTTATAAAAATAAATACAAATTTGTAAAGACAAAATTGAATTAACAAGAAAATAAAAATAAGAATTTCATGTTTTTTTTAGCCTCTTTAATTATTATTTAAACGTTGTAGGCTTATTTTAACTATATTTAAACAGGCACATTTAACTCTATTTAACCATAAGTAACTAAATTTAATAATAGCAGCAGGCAGGCACAGGCAGAATTACTTAAGAAGTCATGGCCAAAGACCTCTTAATAGTTTTTATTTTTATATTTTTCGTTGTTGTAAAGAAGCTAGCTCTTCATTATTAATTGTAGCAATTAACTGTTGTTTAATACACAACCAAAACCACATATACTGGCGGTGGTTCGTACCTCTCTTACAACTTTATCGACAACGACTTGAAAGAAGCGCAGAAGAAACGGCCAAAAAAAGCAAAATTGTTTTGTAAACACACATTTATTCATCATAACTACAGACTTCTTAATAGTTATTATTTGTTGCCTCAAAGCGGTCAAGTCATTAATACTCATTACCATCATTAATATGTATTCAACAAAAAATTCTGAAATAACTGAAAAAAAGACAAAAGAACTGCTAAAAGCCCACTGAACTTCAGTTCACACTCATAAACTTAAAAAATACCGGGAATGAGATGAAAACGAATACAAAAGAAAATCAATGTTAAACTTCCTTTTATTAAATAATGCGAAAAAAACATGTTGAAAAAATTCTTTTATGATTTTTATAACAGAATAATGATGATAATGTGTCTATAAATTAAGTACGTAATGTGTAAAAGACAAATTTTGTGTAGACTACTTTTAATCTGGACAAATAATCTTCTAAATAGATGTTCCCTTAAAAATTACTTCAGTTCTAGTAGTCTAGTTCAGTTCTAGTTCAGTTCTAGTTCAGTTTTAGTCAGTTCTAGTTCAGTTCTAGTTCAGTTCTAGTTCAGTTCTAGTTCAGTTCTAGTTCAGTTCTAGTTCAGTTCTAGTTAGTTCTAGTTCAGTTCTAGTTCAGTTCTAGTTCAGTTCTAGTTCAGTTCTAGTCAGTTCTAGTTCAGTTCTAGTTCTAGTTCAGTTCTAGTTCAGTTCTAGTTCAGTTCTAGTTCAGTTCTAGTTCAGTTAGTTCAGTTCTAGTTCAGTTCTAGTTCAGTTCTAGTTCAGTTCTAGTTCAGTTCTAGTTCAGTTCTAGTTCAGTTCTAGTTCAGTTCTAGTTCAGTTCTAGTTCAGTTCTAGTCAGTTCTAGTTCAGTTCTAGTTCAGTTCTAGTTCAGTTCTAGTTCAGTTCTAGTTCAGTTCTTAGTTCAGTTCTAGTTCAGTTCTAGTTCAGTTCTAGTTCAGTTCTAGTTCAGTTCTAGTTCAGTTCTAGTTCAGTTCTAGTTCAGTTCTAGTTCAGTTCTAGTTCAGTTCTAGTTCAGTTCTAGTTCAGTTCTAGTTCAGTTCTAGTTCAGTTAGTCAGTTCTAGTTCAGTTCTAGTTCAGTTCTAGTTCAGTTCTAGTTCAGTTCTAGTTCAGTTCTAGTTCAGTTCTAGTTCAGTTCTAGTTCAGTTCTAGTTCAGTTCTAGTTCAGTTCTAGTTCAGTTCTAGTTCAGTTCTAGTTCAGTTCTAGTTCAGTTCTAGTTCAGTTCTAGTTCAGTTCTAGTTCAGTTCTAGTTCAGTTCTAGTTCAGTTCTAGTTCTAGTTCAGTTCTAGTTCAGTTCTAGTTCAGTTCTAGTTCAGTTCTAGTTCAGTTCTAGTTCAGTTCTAGTTCAGTTCTAGTTCTAGTTCAGTTCTAGTTCAGTTCTAGTTCAGTTCTAGTTCAGTTCTAGTTCAGTTCTAGTTCAGTTCTAGTTCAGTTCTAGTTCAGTTCTAGTTCAGTTCTAGTTCAGTTCTAGTTCAGTTCTAGTTCAGTTCTAGTTCAGTTCTAGTTCAGTTCTAGTTCAGTTCTAGTTCAGTTCTAGTTCAGTTCTAGAAAGTCGTCGAATTTACCCCATGATTTGGTAAAATTTAGGGGCATTACCCTGCAACTTCAACAACTTCAAAACAACAAAATACATTAAAAATTTAATTCCTTTAAATGTCTGAATAATTGCATTGTCTCATAGGTTCTAGAGTCGTAGTAAGTAGAAAATAAAACAGAGAGGTACAAGAGAGAAGTGGGAAGTAGACACGAATATTTTCTTTCAGCTGATACCATTGTTTGTCTGCCACATTAATTTACTTACTTTTGTGACGACTTATAAAAATATTTATTTATACAAATATACAAATTAAATATTATTATTATTTCGTTGTTACTGCTTATGTTTAATATATAAATATAACATTGGTATTATCTCCTGCAGTTTATACTCTCACAATCATATTAAATATTATTGTTATAATTTAATTATACCAGCATTATCTGTCTTAAACTTAAACTTGTTGTTTAATTAAGTCGCCGAATGAATGAAAAGCAACAATGAACAAGAAGAGACCAACAAACCCCATTTATAATTTCATTGTCATTTTTTATGAATGGAAACACAAACAACTGTGACGATCTTAATTAATACTTTAATTCTTTCAACACCACCAGACCGATCCCATCTCCACACTCTGTTGGAAATTAAATGTTATAAATACATTTGTATGTTACTCCTAATTTCTTTGGTATTCTTAATTATAAAATCTAATGTCATTACTTCAACATTGAAACCATTAATTAACTCTTCTACTTTTAAAATAGCAGTTTCTTAATTCGTCTAAATGGTCCTTCGAACTTAAATTATTTACATAATTTTCAAATATTTACTTTGCAAATTTTTTATTTTATTTCTAAAAATTACTTCTAAATTTTATTGCTTTAATAACAAAAAATAGAAATCGATTAAAGATTTATTTTTCTATATTTTTATTAAATTTGTGTTGTAATGCAAAAGTGATAATTACATGTGTAAAGGTTAATGTCGAAATACCGCAATAACAACAGAAATAAGTTTTTATTTTTTTACAGCAAATTACAACATTACAAATAAATATTCGATTTTTTTTCTGTTGTTGTTATTGTACTGTGTGAAATTTCATTACAATGAACAAAAATAAATAAACAAAAATTAGAATTACAAAGTTAGATACAACTGATAATTACATATAAAGAGTATCTGTTATTTATACTCCTATAAATTTAACATTGTGTTATTTGAACAATAAGAGTGTGAATTAAATATGTACGTTATAAACAATAGAATTGTATGTTAATATTTTAGCTGCTTCTTCAGTTTTTCAACAATTTTTTTTCTCATATACATACATAAGTACTTGTGTAAATTTTAAACTAATTTATTTAATAGCGATACAAATGTAAAACTAAAAAATAACAATAATTTTAAAACTGTTTATAAAACTTGACCCACATTAGAAGAGAAAATTAAAGTTCAAATAATTTTACAAAATTGAAAAATATTCTTGTATTTTTATTTTAGCTACAATGGTTATTTGCCTCAAGGTGATCGTGGCCGCAGACGTTCTAAATTTGTTTTATATAAACGCAGTGAACCCAGTGGTGTTAAACGTTCCAAACATTATATTGTCCAATCACCACAAACATCTAAAGCCATACTCGATGCCAATCAACACTCAATATCATACACATTATCACGGAATCAGGCTGTTATAGTCGAATATAAAGAGGATACAGAAACCGATATGTTTCAGGTGAGTGAAAAAATATGTAATTACAAAGTTCAGTAATGTTTTTAAATTGTTTGAATTTCAGAACTTAATTTCATGACCCTATTTTCGGATATTACACAGGTCAAAAAAATTTTAAAAAATTTAAAAAAATCGTAAAAATTCGTTTTCGAGATATCATGTTATAAAGTTTGCAAAAAACTAATTTTTGGCCATATTTAAGATGTTATAACAGCACAAATATACCCTCTGTTTTTAAAATCTCTTAAAATTGTACTCATAGTTTACTTCTTAGGGCAATGAACAGTTATTCCGATTTTAATATAATTTTGAAAAAATATACGAAAAAGAACTGAACTAGAACTGAACTAGAACTGAACTAGAACTGAACTAGAACTGAACTTGAACTGAACTAGAACTGAACTAGAACTGAACTAGAACTGAACTAGAACTGAACTAGAACTGAACTAGAACTGAACTAGAACTGAACTAGAACTGAACTAGAACTGAACTAGAACTGAACTAGAACTGAACTAGAACTGAACTAGAACTGAACTAGAACTGAACTAGAACTGAACTAGAACTGAACTAGAACTGAACTAGAACTGAACTAGAACTGAACTAGAACTGAACTAGAACTGAACTAGAACTGAACTAGAACTGAACTAGAACTGAACTAGAACTGAACTAGAACTGAACTAGAACTGAACTAGAACTGAACTAGAACTGAACTAGAACTGAACTAGAACTGAACTAGAACTGAACTAGAACTGAACTAGAACTGAACTAGAACTGAACTAGAACTGAACTAGAACTGAACTAGAACTGAACTAGAACTGAACTAGAACTGAACTAGAACTGAACTAGAACTGAACTAGAACTGAACTAGAACTGAACTAGAACTGAACTAGAACTGAAACTAGAACTGAACTAGAACTGAACTAGAACTGAACTAGAACTGAACTAGAACTGAACTAGAACTGAACTAGAACTACTGAACTGACTAGAACTGAACTAGAACTGAACTAGAACTGAACTAGAACTGAACTAGAACTGAACTAGAACTGAACTAGAACTGAACTAGAACTGAACTAGAACTGAACTAGAACTGAACTAGAACTGAACTAGAACTGAACTAGAACTGAACTAGAACTGAACTAGAACTGAACTAGAACTGAACTAGAACTGAACTAGAACTGAACTAGAACTGAACTAGAACTGAACTAGAACTGAACTAGAACTGAACTAGAACTGAACTAGAACTGAACTAGAACTGAACTAGAACTGAACTAGAACTGAACTAGAACTGAACTAGAACTGAACTAGAACTGAACTAGAACTGAACTAGAACTGAACTAGAACTGAACTAGAACTGAACTAGAACTGAACTAGAACTGAACTAGAGCTGAACTTGAACTGAACTAGAACTGTACTAGAACTGTTAAGAGCTATTAAATCGGATCAAGAATTTAAAATTTGTTCATTTTAAGTTTTTTTATAGTGGTACCCAACTCTGGACGCTTCCGAAATTTTATTAAAATTTAACATTTTCGCGACCTACGTTAATTCCTAATATGATCATCCATTGATTAGGAAAAAACACTAGGCTTCAAATTCGAAATTTATAGTTGAAAATTTTTCAATTTGTTATTCATATCATTGAACTATAATATGCAAAACCAGAGTCCCATAGTCTTTACAAAACAACCAAGCAAATTTATAACACAAACTGCAGCAATTTTGTTTATGGACAAAAGGAAAAATCAAATTACTTTAGTATAGTATTCATGACTAAATACCAATACCAATCACTGCCATGGCACCAGGGTATGAATTGTAATAAAAAGGAATTTATAAAATATTTATACCACTTGTCATACTACTAGACTTTAGATTATAGTTATTTTAACCAGTTTATTATATTGTTGTTATATACGTACTATGTACTACAATTCATATAACACAAATTCATTCAGACCATCCTCCCATTCAAATCAACTATCTAATATTCATTCATAATTATAATGTTGTTGTTGTTTGTTTTTTTATTCAATATTCTTTACAGGTTGGACGCTCCTCAGAGTCGCCTATTGATTTTGTTGTAATGGATACACTGCCTGGTGATAAAAAAGACGCAAAAGTAATGCAGAGTACAATATCACGTTTTGCATGTCGTATCTTGGTCAACAGATGTGAACCCTCAAAGGCGAGAATATTTGCAGCCGGTTTTGATTCGAGTAGGAATATATTCTTGGGTGTAAGTATATTTATTTATTACTTTGTGTGTCATTGTTAGGAAAGAAACAGTATCATCTATTATATTTACATATCCATCATCAGTTTAGTTTCTTTTCTGTGTTGTATTGTTTAGTTTAGTTTTAGTTTTGGTTATTTTATGCATATGACTACTTGTATGTAAGTAGTTACTTGTATGAGAGATGAGATGACGATTAAATTAAATCAATAAATGTTTTTTTTGTTTTTCTGCAATTTTAAATGCAATTTAAATGGAATTAATGCAAAAAAGAAAAGAAAACATGTGTGTTGCATGTGGTTGTTTTATGAATAAATTAAAGCAACAACAACTTCTACATTAAGTACTAAACCATTTCCATGTTGTTAGAGAAATTTCTTTCAAAATTATATTGCAAGTTTATAATTGCTGTCCTTTGGTTTATTTTGGAAATAAATCGGTATCTCATGAAATGTTAGAGACATAGTAAGGATACGATAACTTTTATATTTAAAAAACAAAGCATTTAAATAAAAGCCAAATTCATGATTAGAAATCCTGGAAATGGTTTAAAGCTAAATCTTAAAAGTGCTTGGCTAACAATAACTAAAACCACAACAACAACAATAAACGACGACTATAACAAAAACAATATTAATATTAGTAGTAACAGAGTGTGATGGCGTTTTTATATACTTTGGCCCCATAAAAATGTGGGTCATTGTTACGGTATCCATAATTTACAAGAGACTTTTTTTGTTTTGCACTACGAACGATCAAACAAACAAACATACATACATGTTTAGATTTCTGATGGTACTTACTACTTATTTACAACTGCCACACTTCATACCACAAGTATGTCGTACTTAAAAAACTAAATAAATGTTTATTTGTTGGTTGTTTTGTATTTTTTTGTCTATATTTGTTTCTTGTTTCGCATAATCTCAAACATTTAATCTATAATTAAATTTAAATACATTTAAATTGAATTTTATACATTTAACATTTGTAACCTACTCGCCCCCAGCCAAAAACAATTTATAGCAATTTAAACATTTGTTTGTGTTTTTTATTTCAATTTCTTTTTCATGTTTGAAAATAGGAAAAAGCTACAAAATGGCAAGATAATGTGGAAATAGATGGCCTTACAACAAATGGTGTTTTAATCATGCATCCAAAGGGTCAATTTTGCGGTGGCAATGCCAAATGTGGTCTATGGCGTGAATGTTCGGTGGGTGGCGATGTCTTTAGTTTGCGTGAATCACGCTCAGCCCAACAGAAAGGACAACCGGTAATTATTTTCTATTATCTATTAGCTAGTTTATGATTAATAATACATTTTTTAACTATTTGGTTTTTACGTTTGAAATTTAGATTTATGATGAATCAAATATTTTACAAGATGGCACTTTAATTGATTTATGCGGTGCTACTTTATTATGGCGTTCTTCAGATGGTCTACAGCATTCACCGGTAAGTTTTTTTTGTTTAATGTATGATTCACTTTTTTGCTTAATTTTTGTTATGTTGTTTAGACCAAACGTGATTTAGAGAAACTGATTGATGAAATCAATGCTGGTCGCCCTCAATGTCCTGTTGGCCTTAACACTTTAGTTATACCCCGTAAAGTTAACATTGGTGATCAAATTAATCAGCCTTATGTGTACTTAAATTGTGGTCATGTTCAAGGTGGGTGTTTGAAAATAATAACAAAAACTAATTCCATTTTTAATAAAATTTTAAATTTCGAAATTTTTCTATCTCAACAAACAGGTCATCATGACTGGGGCCAAGATAAAAGTACTGGCGCCCGACGTTGTCCCATGTGTCTGGAAGTTGGTCCTGTGGTAACACTGTGTATGGGTTTAGAACCAGCGTTTTATGTAGATATTGGTCCACCAACATTTGCATTTAATCCATGTGGTCACATGGCTACAGAAAAAACGGTCAAGTGAGTTTCTTGTCTTTTTTCTAACAAATTAATGTTTAATTGTTTTTTTTTTTTTTTTTTTTAATATTTCCAGATATTGGGCTAATGTTGATATACCACATGGTACAAATGGTTTTCAAGCTGTTTGTCCATTTTGTGCGACGCCCCTTGATGGTAATTCCGGTTACATTAAATTAATTTTTCAAGATAATTTAGATTAAAATAAATATGTATAATAAATATTAAAACAAAATAAGTAAAATTGCAAAAAAACAAATTGAAAATTTAAAGTAAAAAAACAAATAATCCATAGGCTTTATTTTTCTAAAAACGTAATTATTATAAAAACAAAACAAATCCAAAAAAAGAAATAATATAAAACAAATAATGAATTATTAATAATATTTACAAATTATTTTTTAAAATATCAAAAGAAAAAAAAATTTCTATTTATATACATACAACATACAACAAATTATACATAAATACATACTTATATAGAAAAAACAAATACATACAACATACACACATCTATAAACATTAAAATTTTGAAAAGAGTTATTAAAAAGAAAAACTGAAAATTTAGATTATTATAAATTGATTACATAAATACATACAAACTCAAATTCATTAAATCATTTCCTTTTTTCATTCGTATTGTAGTTATCGAACATTTTTCTATAGAATATTAACGAAATTCTCCTCAAAAAATTGTTTTAAAAGCTTTATACTAACGATAACTTTCTCTTACTGAACATGTTCTTTAGAAAACTTTTCCTTGTTATCAATCCAATAGATTAGATAATTACTTTTTTAAAACAAATGTTAATAATATTTGATTTTCAAATTACCACATGATGTTTCCAGTTTTCTAATTTCTCTAAAGGATTAAACCATCTTTCGATGCGAAAAGAAAGGCTTTCGATAAACAATGTATTTAACATACAAATTCTAAAGCCTCTGTTTTCGAAACAAGTTAATGCTTCTTTGTTTAATTCCTTTCAACTTTTTATGAAAATTGTCTTTAATATCTCTGTTAATATTCGCTATAGAGCAATTATTATATTTTTTACAAGTTTTTTCTTCACTAATCACTCATTTCAAATGATTTGGTATGAAATGTTAAACAAAAGAAAGTAAAAATAATATTATAAATTTTTGTAATTATAAATTGTAAAAAAAATATAATTGATAAATAGATATTTTGTAGTAAAAATCATAACAAACATACATACAAACAACATACATACAAATTTAATTTTTCTAATTTATAAATTATATAAAAATTATAGTAAAAAAACAACAACAACAAAACATAAAAATAATAAAAACGAAATGCCTTGAAGAATTTTTTTGTACAACTTTTTCTTACGTTTGTTTTGAAAACGAAAACGAAAACAACAACAACAAAAAACACACAACAACAAATTCTTTTGATTTTTCCAAATTTTATTATAAAAGAAAAAAAAACCTTAAGAATAAATAACTATTTGTTGCTAAAATAAAACTCCTCCTTGATGATGATGCTCTATTGAATGTAAAAGTTAAAAAAAACACAAATAATTTTTTTGTCTGCTCTTAAAAGAAAAGTATTAAATGAATGTTATTAAGCCTAAATAAGAATTTATCAAAATTTGTATAAATATTAAAGTAAAACAAAAAAAAAAAAAAAAACTTAAATTCCAAACTTAAAAACAAACTAAGAATTTGAATTAAAAAAACCAAACTAAAGGCGTGTTATATTTTTACTCATAAATATTTCTATATAGTATAATTTACCCACAAAGAAATTAAAAAAAAAACAAAATCACCTTTAAACCATAATAAAACACATATTGTCCAAAAACAACTTGTCAACAACCAAAATATTTAAATATATTTTTTAAAATCCTTAAAACTGCGGGAACCACAAACATAACATTTTCAAGCAAATAACAAGTTTAAAAGTTCTAGCTTAAAGAAAAGAAAAAAAAAACAGTTTGGAATTTTGTTCTTAACTTAAATGATATACTAACTTTAAGTTAACTTTAACCTGTTTCAACTTTGTTGAAATTTTAAAACAATTTCGTTTTGTTTTATTTATAATTTTTGCCTTAAATCTTTTTAAAAGTTCTTTTTTTTACAAATACAAGTAATTTTAGTTTTTTTAGTTATTAATTTTTAAATACAAATCAATGAAAGTATTTAGTTTTTAAGCTTTTGTTTTTTTTTAACGTTTATTATTTTATATTAAAATTTGTAATTTTATTTATGCCTATAATTTAAATCTAAAACTATCTACCATTTACTGAGAACATTTTTATTATTATTTTTATAAATAAAACTATTTTTTTTTAAATAAGTCTTTTTTAAATTTCCTTTTCGTTTTCTTTTCAAATATTTAAGCCATAATTGTTTAAGAAAAAAAAAAAGGAAAATAATAAAATAATTATTGCAACTATTTATAATCAATAATAATATCAGTTATACAAAATCAGTTAAAAGATAATAATGAGTTTTCTTTTCTTTTAATTATTGTCTGTTTTTGAATAACTGTTGCTTTATAACGAAAAAAACATATTTAATTAAAAGAAAAAACCTAAATAATTTATATTCAAGAAAAAAATCGATTTATATATAAATATATGAAAAAATATACAAATATTATATATAAAATTAATAATAAATTAATAAACATAAATTAAAATAAAATAAAACAAAAGAATGAAAAAAAACAAAACATCCTTATAATGAAATATCGTTAGTAATAGTAATTGTAATTAATTAAAAATAAAAAAACAAACAAAAACCAATTATGGAATTATAAAATAAAGATCAAATGAACTGAAATAAAGTAAATAAAACAAAATATATTATAAAAAATAAAACAAAAAATAGTTTTTAATTAAAATAAAACAGAATAAAGTGAGTCAACAAAGTAATTATAAAATTGTTTCTTAAAAAAACTATCGAAATTTGTCATATCCCTGTAATAGAATTATCGATAATTCTTATAACTTAGAAGACTTGTGAATATAGTAGTACATAATTAATCAATAATATTAGTCAATAGAAATCCATAAATTACCCTAGTTCATTAACTACTCAATAAACTATTGGATTGGGCTTAGATTAGTCAAAAGACTATTTCATAAACTAGTTGGAAATATACTTGTGTTTAGACTAGTAAATGGTCTAGTTATAAGACTAGTCAATTTGCTAGTTCATAGAATAGTTAATACTCTAACCCTTAAATTATTCAATAGACTAATCTATAGACAATTCAATGGATCAACAGAACAGTTAATAGTCCATAGACTAACAAATAGAATAGTCCATAGTATAGTCAAAAAGTCTTGTCAATTCACTAGTTCTTAGATTATATAAATTAATCAATAATATTAGTCCATAGACATCCATAGAATACACTAGTTCATTAACTACTCGATAAACTAGTGGGTTGGGCTTAGAATAGTCAAAAGACTATTTCATAAACTAGTAGGAAATAGACTAGTGTTTAGACTAGTAAATGGTCTAGTTATAAGACTAGTCAATTTACTAGTTCTTAGACTAGTCCATAAAATAATCAATAGACTAATCCATAGGCTACTCAATGAATTAGTCAACAGACTAGTCAATAAAACAGTTAATAGTCCATAGATTAACTAATAGAATAGTCCATAGAATAGTTAATAGTATGGTCAAAGGTTTAGGTTAGGTTTAGGTAAGAAGGGTAGCCACTCATTCAATCATGAGTTGCTCACATGGGTCCACTTAGTTGCGTTCCCGTTTTGATATCCTAGTGGTTGTTGTTGTAGCAACGATAGTGTATAGTCGGTGTGGCTGGGTTGACAATCCTTGGTCGTTGTTCGTTGAACTCCGAGTCGTTCCGGTGTGAAGAACCGATTGTCGTGGGAACGCATCCTAGTGGTCATACGAGTCATTTTAAGTATTACTCTCTACTTCTACAAAGTTTATTATATTTTGAAGGCATATCCCAGATTGCTCATCAAATTAAGATAGAGCAGCAAAGACGATACAGTGTTCTCTGCTTTCATTGAATGATGCACAGTGGTATAGGAAAAAAAAAGAGGGAAATAATTCGGTAACTTCTAAACGGTTAATCCGATTTTAATGAAATTTGGTATGCACAAAGAGGAGGTGTTGTCGAGTTTAGGTTTTGAATTTGGACCTTATAGGCCAACCAGGGGCCCGGCGGGGGGTCCTCAAATTAGGACACCTCGGCTATGTTAAATTTTTAAAACGATCTTATTTCTTCATTTGAGTTCCGATTTAAAAAAAATTTCGTATATAGAATCTTCTCATCGAGCACTATAAAAAATGTCGTCGTAGCAGTAAATTATCTCTTATAGTTCAGGAGATATTCGCATTTGAAAATTAAAATTTTAAAATTTTTACCGTTCTTACTTTAGTTTTTTGATAATAGCGGGTCCAAATATTCCCATTTCTTTTTTTATTCGCTTAACAACAAGTTTATATATCAAGCAGTGAAAGAATTATGTAAAAATCATGACTGAGTCCAAAGTTATAGGCATTTTAATTTAAAAAATTAAAAAAGGCGATTTTTTGCCATTTTTTTGGGAAAAAAGTATCTTTTTCTTTTTAAGTTATCTAAAAAGTTTCTAAGAAGATGTATATAGAATTTATACTTTTTGAAAAGCTGACTTTACATAAAATACGATAAATGAAACAAAACCTAAAAATTTTTGATACCGAGGGGACCAGGTCCATCCAAAAAACCCTATTTTTTTATAGAAAATTCAATTTTGAGCAAAAATTCTCAAATCGCATAGTCGATATCAAATTATAGTGACCTGTTTTATATGACCCAATATGTTCTTAATCATTTTGTAACGGGTTTCGATAACCCCGCCCCTGGTATGGATATAATAGGCAAAAAACCAAAAAATCCCATTTTTGGGATTTTTTAAAACTTTTTTGGGAATTCCGGGATTTCTAATAAGAAAATTCGAACTTTTTATTTAATTTTAGATTTTGAGTAAAAAATCTACCTAACTGTAAAATTTCATCAAAAAATATTCATAAATAAAATTTTTATTGCAATTTGAAAAATTTGTATCTTCGCAAAAACTGAATAAAAAACATTTTTTAATTTTTTTTAAAAAAGTATTCCGCGAATTTTTTAATTTTCAAAAATTATATACAGTTTTGAAAAATAGACAAAATTACCTTTCCATTGATATATAACATGCCTACCTAATGTTTTTTAAGTGACAAATTAATTAGGGAAAACTCAACATCTTTTAGAAAATTTACCTAGCACTATTATTTTCATCCATAACGTTAACTCTTAAATTTGTTACATATATTAAAAAATTTTCAGGTATTATTTTTTAAACTGTAATGATTTTTACCCCTATAGGTCACTTTAATAGGTAGCTTATTAAAGTGACCTATTGAGGAAAAATTCATTACATAAGGATACGTTAGACATATTAGGTAGAATATCATAACCCTTTAAAAAATAATTTAATTTAAGTACCTGTAATTAATATATAAGACAGGTTTATATCTGTTTGTAATTATTTGTAATTTTCTAACCATGGCGATCGTACTAAAAAAAAATGATTTGTGCTCCATTTTATTTGAACACTCTTCAGCTCCTTTTCAAGATAAAGTGAACTTCTTATTGAAATATATTGAAACTGCACATAAAAATAAAGTGGATAAAACTGATATATGTAAAATTGAAAATTTTATAAAATCAGTTGATATAAAACTGAAGAGTGTTCGGTATTCCATTGCTAAATTTCGATCGAAATTTTCTGATTGTCTGGATGAATGTGTAGAAGTTGCTATTTGCGTATCAACTGTTGGTGCTCCCTGTAAGCAGTATGAGGATTTGAGCTCAAAATCTAAGAGGAAAAGGTTATCAACTTCACTAGAAACCTTATCTAACGAAGAAGTTTCGGACACTTTTAAAGCAATGTTAAGAAAAGAAAAACAGCCTTTGGATGCCATAAAAATTGCAAATATTCTTCCAACCGCATCACCAAGACGACTGAAAAGAATTGTAAAGAGTATACCCACACCATCATCTGATACAACGTTCACTGAGGAAGAAGCTATTGCGCTTATGTTGCAGCTGGGATTAAGTCGTGATAACTACATAACGTTAAGAAAGGCGCTATCTGAAAAAGGAGTGGATGTTTTACCATCATATGACAAAATAAATGAAAAGAAGAAAAGCATTATACCACCTCCTATTGAAATAACTGATCGGAAGGCTGTTATTGGACTCGGCGCTCTACTCGAAAATACTGCTTTAAGGATTGCTTCTGACTTTTCTTCAGACCAACTAAAAAAAATAAATTCTTGTGATCTTCAACTCATTTGTAAGTGGGGATGTGATGGATTATCAGCACTCTCGGAATATAAACAAATCAACACAAGTGAATCATCTTCCGAGTATAAAAGTGTATTTATGGCATCGCTAGTTCCATTAAGAATTCGAAAGTATGCTGACAGCGATTCTCCATCAACCAGTTTCGATGATATTTGGAAGAATTCGACTCCAGGATCCAAAGCTTTTTGTAGGCCAATAAGCTTTGAGTATATAAAGGAATCCAAAACAACAACGCAAGATTTGATAAATCGTATTGAAGCAGAAATTAAAAACTTGGAACCTATAACAATCGAAATAGAAAATTATTCGTTTAACATGTCCTATGAT